AAACTGGAAAAAAAAACCAAGCTCTGAAGAGGGGATGACGTCATCAACCCCCCCCCCCCGACGATCACGTCACTAATTACGTCATTCTCGGGCAAGCAGCTGCCAGCGGAACGCACCGAACTAATAGAGCACTAAGCGGGCCGGCACGAATGTGACGTCACGGGATAGAGAGGTCTCAGCGGGCCGCGGGCGAGGAAAAGTCGAACCGTGCAGACCTCCAGCGGACAGACAGACAGACAAACGTCAACTATCACATAGATTATCAGTCAAATGATTCAAATAATATTAATTAACAGGCGGAAATTACGCGCGCCCCGCAGTGCTTCTATTCATCGTCACCTGTGACACCGTCACCTGTGACGGCGAGTCGAGCGCACTTGCGACGCGGACACTCTCGTCGCGGTTTTTATATCGAAGATCGCCAAATTGAAATAGAATCCTTTTAAGGACCCTAAAGGGCTCAAGGACAGTGATGGATCGCCTCGACCTTCAAGGCGAAGAGATGGTCTCCCCATCAATAATAAATGAGAGTTGCGGTCCGCGTCCGATCTCGAGTCGCCGTTAAGTTTCCGACGCGTTTCGGAGAGTCGCGGGACCCTCTGCGAATTGCATTGATTGTGATTGCATTGTGATTTTTTATGCCATGCAGATGTCATGAGAAAATGCGAATAATTTTTTTTCCTTCAGCAACGTGTTATTTTTGGACGCCTAACTACGAATATATTTAAAGAAAAAAAATATATATATATATATTATTTATTTATTTTTTTTTTCCCCGATTCTTTGGAGATTCGATGCTTCCAGAGGAACTTGCGGTCGATGAAGCCAAAATGACATTGCAGGCTCAGACGACGGTGATCGGGGAGTTCCGATGAAACGGAATTAAGGAAAGGCAGCAGAGAAAGACCTGCCATTATTTATGAGTGGTAAGGACAGAGGATCGTAATGTTTAAGGATGGGAATAAAATCACGTGCTTCACTTCGTACGGGATTCTTTTTTTATTTTTAGAGTTTTTGAGATTCGGTCGAGAATCGCAAAATATATTCTCGAAATCTTCAGAAAAATAGAATATGTGACTCCTTCAACTCTTGCAATTCGCGGAAACACTTTCACGCATCAGATACGGTAGTCAGCAAAAAGCCATAAGGAATTGCACAGGGCTGAAGACCCAGTCACTCCACCGGGAATCTGCCCGTGTCGCTGCAAGCAACGAAGGCGCCCTGCTGCCGTCGCGTTGCCGCCTTCCACGATGCATTCGAACGAGGCCTCCCCGGCGCTCGGCTTCCCGCGTGGATCCGTGGAGCACGAGAGGCGGGGAGGCACTCGCGACGCGAATGGGAGGCGCTTCGCGACCGGGCAGACGTTGGTGCGGTTCAAAGAACGCTTATCATTCCGAAGAACGTCGGTCGAATCGAGTAGTGTGTGATGAAAATATTATTCACATTGACATCGTGGATTTTGGGTTCGGTATGCCGCGAGGATCGAGCCGACTCGAAAGCGTGCCGCGAAATAAAAAAAAAAAAGAGTCGAGAAGCACTGATTCATGCCACCGGTCTTTTCGTAAGTCACTGTAGTTTTTCCACAAAAAATTTTTAAAGTGAAACTCGTACTGGCCCGATATGCGGTTGTTGAGTTGCGGCTGAATCGGTTTTCACGAATAAACATCCTGGTTTTGAATGATTTTTTTGCATAATCGATCGAGAAACCGACCCGGCCACTGATTTTCCTTTGAATGTTTTGGCACAAAACTTTCGTAATCTTGGTAACTGAAACAGACTTAAAACAAAATTTATTCACCCAACCCCAAATGAATGGGATCGCATCGGCCAGGAGAGAAATACTAAACACTTCCACTCTTTTCCTTCTTCAAACTCTGCACAAGCGACTCCTTGTTAAGAAGAGAGTAATGAGGTCTGGTCGACTAACGTGATTTCATTAATTAGATACAGGGTCGTGCAACACGGCTGCGTTGAGTGCACTGCTGAAAATTGACTTCATTTTTATCAAGGAAAACTCAACTTTTCTCTTTTTTTTCTAGATGTCAGTTTATTCACTTCTGTCAATGCCGATACACTTCTGCAAAAAAATTATTTGAAAAGAAGTCAAGACTGCCATACACATTGCCCAGGAATTGAATGACCAAGCCAGGGGGGAATAAATTACATCCATGAATAGACAGGGAGAGAACTATTTGCAATGTTTCTAACTTCCTGTCTCAACTTGGGGTCTCGAGGGAGTGGGAAAACTGTTGTCAATGGTGGAAATTGCATAGCACTTTGAGGCTGCCTTAATTTATTCTTCAGTTTTTTTTTGGTCATGGGGAACAAAAAAAAATTCGAAATGCGAAATAAATTATGCAAGCGATTGCACGCATAGTTTTGGTGGTAAATGGGAGAGCTAACACCTCTCCTCTGGGTCATTCGGTTTCTGGACGAAGTATCTAATCGGCAATATTTGAAAATGAACAATTTTAAGAGGGCAGGGAAGACAAAATTTGGCTTGAAACTCGAAGCACAGCACTGGGACAGAGCAGGTAAATTGGGAGAATTCTCGGTTTTATCTACTGTTTATAAAAATATCTGGAATCACACTGATAAAACTAGGACTCGCTGGAGATTGGAAGACTCTCGACAGTAATGCCCTTCGAATGGAGAAAACCGATCTGGTACCGAAATCGACACCCGAACACGAGCGGAAAACGCGATGAACCTCACCGGATCTCGATTCTCTTGAGGCTCGAATGCAGATGCATGCAGTGGGTCCGAAGATGGGCGTTCTGAGAGAAGCGCTTGAGGCAGACGGGGCACTGGAAGGGCTTCTCTCGGGTGTGCTTGCGGCTGTGGTATTCCGCGTGGTTCTTGCGGGGAGTCGAGTAGGGGCAGACGGGGCAGAAGTACCACTTCTTCCCTGCCCTTCGAGTCTTCCCGCACCACACGTAGCTCTGAACGTAGGATATCGTCTGAAAGCAATACACGGAGACATAAAGCAACTTTACATCGGTCAAATTACCATACATACAATAAGGCATATATGGATACCTCTGTGCTTTACCATCATAACTTGTACCGATATCATGTTGCACTCGACTGCCTGAGCCTAATGCTCTCCCTCATGTTCCAAGTTTTCAACGACAGCGTTCAGTGACTCCAGCTGATCTTCCCCACAGTGGGAGTGCAATTGGCTCGGGGTTTCGTCATTTTAAGCATGTTTGCACAGAAGATAATTTATGAAGTGCAAAAACTCACTCGATGAGATCTCTGATACTTGAGAGGAGTAAAACTTGGAGGAGGAGTCTTGAGAACTGTGAAACTCATTTATTTAGCACCCAAGGTCAGTCTTTCCCAAATGGCAAGCAGTTATTTGACCCAACCTTGCCAAAAAGAAGTACCTATGAATGATTCTCTAAAGTTTCACCCAACACTCAAATGATCTGAACATCAAATACCTAACATGAAAACTTTGAAATGAATCTGAAATAAATTACCATTTCCAGTAAACAGAGTCATTCTTTTACTCACCCATTTGGGATAGGATTACAGAGGTATGACAGCTTCAATCATTCTTGTTCTTTTTTGCAAATTTCACTAGCAGCCTTTCATATTAAATTAAAAGAACCTGCAACTTTGATTGTGTCTGGAATTTTTCCTCCTCAAATAGCTAAGAAGGTATCAATGAGACGCACCTTGATTTGTGGTTCAAATAAGTGCATTTTTAGAAACAGGAAGGACATTGGGAGAGTCTTTTGTAACTTGTGCCCCTCAACTCCATGATTCAAGTTGCATGTATGGGTGTTAGGAGGTATTCATGGTGATATGTTTAGTCAAGGTTGAGCACTCCTATCCCTGTCTGAAATAAGCCTACCCAATATCATCCAACATGATTTCTTGCCACTCTTGAAGCCATCAGCATGCATAGCAGCCACTATGTCATATTCTATTCAAGTCAAAAAGTAATTCTTATCAAGTCTTGGGCTTTACTTTGAGGAGCAAATGGGGAACTATAAAACAATTCAGAGGAACCAAATCTGCAATGATCTTTCTCCAAATGAAGTTTATTAACTTGAAGAATAGCATACATTCTCAAAGGTGCAGTAGGTGAAGTATTCCAGACTCAGGATATAATTTCCAGAGACATCCAAATAACCAAAGTTGTCTGGCACTTCAATAGATATTCCAGCATGACAATCGATTCCACCCAGAGAAAAAATTATGAAGATGTACAAAGAGGAAAGGAAAGAGTCACTGCTTCTCGAATCTGTCCAGAGCATAGTTATGCACCAGGGCACAGTGATTTTTCAAGTGGAACTTTCGGGCAAATGCCTTGAAGCAGATGGGGCATTGATATGGTTTCTCCTTGCTGTGCTTGTGAGTGTGATACTCCGCATGGCCTTTGTGCGCGGTGGAGTATGGACACGCGGGGCAGAAGTAGAGCTTGGTCCCCGTCGGTTGCAGTTTGCCGCACCACATGTAGCTCTGGACGTAGGTCACTGTCTGGAAACGATAAGGAAGCGAGGTTAAGCCCAAACTGTTTGCCGACACAATGGGACGGACGGGGATGGGTCTGTGATGCTTATTTGGAGGGTCATCGCAGTCACAGACACTGTAAACTATATCCCTGACTTAGGAACATGTAACATCTTTGGTGATTTCCTATGGATGCAATCAGCAGATACCAAAGCCACAATCTCAATGACAGATAAGAGAAAATCATGTAAATGCACACCATGGTTTTCCTTTCACTGCCTATTCAATCTGTCGAGATCACAGGTATGCACAACAGCACAGTGATATTTCAAGTTGGATTTTTGGGTGAAGGACTTGAAGCAGATGGGGCATTGAAACGGCTTCTCTTTGCTGTGCTTGCGAGTGTGGTATTCAGCGTGGCCTTTGTGTGCAGTGGAGTACGGACACACAGGACAGAAGTACAGCCTCGTCCCTGTCAGTTGCAGCTTGCCGCACCAAACATAGCTCTGAACGTAGGACACAGTCTGCAAATGATAAGGAAATGAGGTGACCCATTATGCGACTGTCATCTAGATTCTTGCTGTGAAATATGACACTTGAGTGTGGGGATCATGTGGACAAGAATCCAGTATGATCTTTGTTGAAAGCAATCATACTGTCGAAGGTTTGCCAAAGTCTTACAAATCCAGAAAGCAGTCTGGAAAATGGTATTCTGAGTTCTCCTTTGAATGAAATAACATGTACCAAAACCAAAAACTTAATTGCCAGCTATGGGGAAAATGATTCTTTCTTTACAGCAGCAGTCTACAAAGACCAGTGGAAAATAGAGCAGCACAGTCTTCAACTTGAGCTTTGGGAGAAACACTGTAAGATGAACACTATAGACTTCTTTTTAATGTGCTTCCTGATGGGATCTTCAGCATGGTGTTTAGTAGGGATTCAAGCACAGATAAACAGGAAAGTAGTAACACTTTTTTCATGTACTTTCACATCTGCTCACACCATACTTAGCACTGAATACAGGACACTGACTGAAATTGGGACACATCTTGTGCACCATGGAAATACTGTGGCATTCATCAAGATTCTAACAATCAATTATCACACTAGCAAATATGAGGCAGATGGTTAAGGGTGGGGTGCAAAAATTAGGAGTAAGAAGCACTCTTTCCTGAGGGCAACTATACTGTCAGAGACCATATCAATTCAGGAAATAGTTATTACTAGGTGAAGTACTTCAACATAGATTGTAGACAAGGTCCCATGTTAAGGCTTTTCCAGCAGTCTTCCAGAATAACAATGTTGAAAAAAAAACATTTGTGTATGTTTCTTTCAAAATGAATTTTCTGTAAGAGATTGCATAAAAAGTAGGGCTGTCAATAGATTAAAATTTGATTAATTGATTAATCGTGAGCCATTAAATAGATTAATCGAATTTTAATAGATTCCTTAGATCCTCCTTGAATCAGGTCCTACGTGTTGGGCATGATTCTGCTTGTGTCACATCCAACACCTAGGCGAGCTTCAGGGAATGACTCGAGGCAATGCAGTCACTAATAGAGCTGTTACCATCCATGCATATTTCAACCAACATGTGACACATTCCAATTGGAGAGAAAATAATTACAACGTAGTCAGATGAATAATGAAATGTAAGCAAAGAAGCACACAGAAGCCCATTGCCATTGAGCCAACCCATGCAGGAAGGATGCAATTTATCGATTCACGAGCAACGCAGGATGGTGACTTTTCAGGAACTCTAGGTTGCTGCTACCTTCACCTGACGCACAAGGCCTGCAAGGCTATATGGGGTGTGTACCAGTACACTTGTGGAAGCGAATGGGTCAGAAAGCTTTTTTTTTTTAATAGTCTGAAAGCAATAACTTTGTGTGTGTTCCCCTTTTCCAAAAATGGACTGTTTTGCAAAACTATTAACTATACAGTCAAATTATTAGGATTCATTCAGCATTCAGGGGATCGATTAATCCAATTGAATTGACAGCCCTAATAAAAATATAAAAAATTCCTTCAACAAATCACTTTATAGGGATGAAATGCAAGAAATACTGTTTCCTATTTCCACTGACAAAGATAACAGAGACCATTAAACTTGACAATAGGTAATGGAAACGATGTCACACATTTCACTGTATCTACAATGTGTCAAGATCACCAGGATGTAGAATGGCACAGTGAGTTTTCAAGTTTGACTTTTGGGAAAAATATTTTAAGCAGATGGGGCACTGGAAGGGCTTCTCTTTGCTGTGCTTCCGACTGTGGTACACTGCATTGCATTTCCGGTCGGCCACATAGGGGCAGATAGGGCAGAAGTAGATCTTGGCCCTTGTCAAGCCCATTCTCCCACACCAAATGTAGCTCTGAACATAGGACACTGTCTGCAAACAATATGGGAAAGGAGGGAAGCTTTACTTGGGTATCAATTTCAATTCTTCATTGCTGTGGAATAGCCTTTGCAGCAACCTCACAATACCCATGAGTGATCATCAATTTACACAGTTGTCATGCAGTACCATCTCAAAAAGGGACATTACTTGATTTTGTTTTTTCTTCCCCGATACATCTGTACTGGTGAGTTGGAGGATGGGATATGAATGACAGGCAAGATCACTGGAACAATATTTAATTAGTCAAACAATACACTCACAAAATTGCATCTGATATAATATGAGGTTTTCTGGGCACAAAACTTCACAAAGAATCTTGCACGTCTGTCCAGATCACTCATATAGCTTGAATGGTTGTATCAAACCACATATGCAGTACCAGAATATCACATTTTCAAAAAACTGGCCAATATTATGGAGATTGCACACAAGGATGGCAAGTCTGTCATTGTATTTGGAATTTCTCAACATCATAGGCATGCACAGAAGCACTGTGGGCCTTCAAGTTCCCCTTTTGGGAAAAAGACTTGAAGCAGATGGAACACTGAAAAGGCTTCTCTTTATTGTGCTTGCGACTGTGGTACTCCGCATGGCTTTTCTGTGCCGTCATGTAGGGACAGATGGGACAGAAGTAGATCTTGGTTGCTGTCAATCTCATCCTCCCACACCATATGTAGCTCTGAATGTAGGACACTGTCTGCAAACAATATGGGAACGGATGCAAGCTTTATGTGGTTGTCATGTTTCCCATAATAAAAAATTGTATATTTTTGTGCACGACATAGTTCTGGTGATATTTATCGGAGAGCAACCTTACACTCAGGAACTATGGGCAGTAAAGCTTTCCAGATTCATGTGAGAAAGTACTAGGACACTTCTGTGTAGTAGAAGTATTTCCAAATTTATTTTGAAGTATAAAGAGACAAAAGTGGACAATTCAATTCCAGCCAGTGAAAGCAATGGCAAAGATAAATCTGGTTGAGATGCTGCTACTGCATCTGTATTCTGTCAACATCACAGGAATGCACATTAGCACAGTGTGTTTTCAAGTGGCCCTTTTGGGAGAAGCACTTGAAGCACACAGGACACTGAAAAGGCTTCTCTTTGTTGTGCTTGCGACTGTGGTACACTGCATTGCATTTCCGGTCTGTCATGTAGGGACATATGGGACAGAAGTAAATCTTGGTTGCTGTCAATCTCATCCTCCCACACCATATGTAGCTCTGAATGTAGGACACTGTCTGCAAACAATATGGGAAGGGATGTAAGCTTTAAGTGGTTGTCATGAAAGTGTTTGCCACTAAAAATTTTTAAAATGCATTTGTGCAAAACAAAGTTTTCATTATTTTTATGAGAGTGCAACCTTTCACTTGAGCACTATCAACAGCTAATATTTACAGATTCATGCGAGAAATAACCAAGACACTTTTGGGTAATAGAAGTATTTCCAAATTTATTTCAAAGTGCATAGAGACAAATTGGACAATTCAATTCCAGCTGGTGAAAACAATGGTGATGGTAAATTTGGTTGAGATGCTACTGGATCTGTATTCTGTCAACATCACAGGAATGCACTTTAGCATGGAGTGCTTTTGTGCAGCCGTTTTGGGAGAAGCGCTTGAAGCACACAGGAAACTGAAAAGGCATCTCTTTGTTGTGTTTGTGACTGTGGTATACTGCCTTGTATTTCTGGTCTGTCACATAAGGACATATGGGGCAGAAGTAGATCTTGGACTCCTGCACCATATGTAACTCTGAACATAAGAGACACTCTGCAAACAATATGCTGAGTTATTCTTTAGATAGGTGCCATCCTGTGTGTCCTTACCAATTATGCACCTATGCACCTTTCAGAAAGGGGCAGAATTTCTATAGAAATTAGCAACATCTGGGTTCAGAACAATATTTTCCAAGTGGAACAATGAAGTTTTCCAATTTGGAAAAACTCTAAAATTAAAATTCTGACAGGTAGATGTTTTTCCAAATTTCTTTACAAGTGTAAAGAGACATATTAAAACACACACTAACATTCCATTCTCAATTTCACATTGATGGAATGGTAAGAAGGTACAGGAATATTCTTTTTGCATCTGCAAGCAGTCAACATTTATGGGGGTGCACAGCAATGTAGTGTGTTTTCAAGCGGTCCTTTCGGGAGAATGACCGGAAGCAGAAAGAACACTGAAAAGGCTTCTCTCTGTTGTGCTTGCGACTGTGATTCTCTGCATTGGTCTTGTGTGGAGTTGAGTAGGGACAGACAGGACAGAAGTAGAACTTGTTCCCTGTATTTCGCATCTTCCCACACCACATGTAGCTCTGAACGTAGGATATTGTCTGCAAACAACATGAAACCGAGGTAAGATGCATGTGGGTGTTATTTGAATGTGTACTGTGAAAATATACTGTCATGGGGAAGAGCTGATCTCAATAAAAAGAGCCAGGTTGAGGAGTTACAGATGTTATTTATGTTGCAATAACATATGCTCACACAAATTTATCAGAGAAATACACCTAAGTCTCTTAAGTACCAGACAAAATGCACCAAGAATCTCAAGGCATAAGTACTTATACAAATGTGAACCATTTATCAAGCAATCTATGATTGCATATGCGAAGCATCAAATCAGAGGAATCAAGAAAAGAATCACTGGGTCTTTAACACAAAGACTCTCAGGGCTTATGACATGCTGTCAGCCATACATGGAAGTCAGGGAAAAAGTTTTTAAGTAGATGGAATATTACAACAGCTCTTTGTTGTGCTAATTATTGTGACTTTCTGCATGGCTTTGTTGTGAATTTGACTATGAACTAAAAGGAAAGTAGATCCTGTTTCCTGGAAGTTCCACAATTACACTGAATATAGATACAAACACAGGAACACACATATGTAACTAATTTTGAAGGTCAAATTGGTGTGGGAATGGGGTATACAGTTACCACAGAGAATCACAAACAAAAGATATACTTCTGAGATCACAGAAGGAAAAAACTGTTCCTCAAATGGAGTCAATGAATGTATCCATTCATGTAACCAAGTCTTTCATATTCAGGCAACACGTAAAGAATCTTGAGGCAGATACAGGCTAGGTACTTCCAATGTCCTTTGAAATTTGTACATA